GGGGGATGGCCACGCCGCAATCCCTTCTCCTCCATTCTCCTCTCGGGATCTTGGGCACGCACACAAACGCGGCTGGCGTCAGTTTAAGCCACTGGGTCCAGGACTTGAACCTCGGTCGACTACATGGGAGTTCAGCAACATAGCCATTACGCTAACTGCTGGTTCCCATCTCTCTGTTTTTGTTTTTAAATGACAGAGGACCTGGGGGTTCACTGGGGAGAGGGACGGGGAGGAAGCAGTGTCCAGGGCAGTGTGGTCACCCTGCAGCCCCTTCTCCACTTCTCAGTGTTCTTAGGCGTTTGGACGCACGTGCACCTGGCGTGTTTCTCAAGCCACCTGACCATGGCCAGCCACTTGGGATCTGGCTCCCTGCACCACGAGGCTATGGGAATGGCCCCACCTGGTCTTCAGGAATATCAGCTGACTGATCTGCATCCCGGGGACCTTGGTTGTAATGCCCGCTGTGCTCTGACCCCCAGTCACCATTCTCTGGACTTACAGGGCTCTTTTTGAGAGCTTTTTGATGCAGGGTACATGCACTTGCTGGAGGGAGAAAGACAGAAAGCAGAAAGTGAGAAATACCCCCCCCCAAGGGGGGATGGCCATGCCATAATCTCTTCTTCATTTTGCTCTTGGGATTTGGGGGCACGCACACATACCCAGCATGAGGTTTAAGCCGCCAGGTCCAGGACTCGAACCATGGTCTTCCACATGGGAATCCAGAACCTTAACCACTGTGCCCTGTGCTGGCCTCTCATCAAACACTCTTCAGGATGGTCTAGCTCTGGGTCTTTTTTTTTTTTTTTTCCTTTTTTTAGAGAGGTTTTCGCTGTAGGGTGTGTGCACTTGCCAGAAAGACAGAGACAGAAAGCGAGAAATCACCCCCAGGGGGGATGGCCAGGCTGCAATCCCTTCTCTATTCTCCTCTCAGGATCTTCAGCATGTACATGTGCCCGGCGTGAGTTTTAAGCCACTGGGTCCAGGACTCGAACCGTGGCCGACTACATGGGAGTCCAGGGACATAGCCATTACGCTAACTACTGGTCCCTAGCTCTGGGTCTTTTAACCTATGGAAGGCCTGACAACCAATGTGACCTGCTCCCCCTCCTTAGTACCTTCTAAAAGAATAAGTATTCTGTTACAGCGCTCCTAACTGCCAGAAAAATGGCCTCAGAAGATGGGACCTCACTGAGATCACAAGTGGCTTTTTTTTTTTTTTGAGAGAGATTTTGCTATAGGGTGCGTGCACTTGCCAGACAGACAGAGACAGAAAGTGAGAGATCACCCCCCAGGGGGGATGGCCATGCCGCAATCCCTTCTCCTCCATTCTCCTCTCGGGATCTTGTGCATGCACACACACGTGTCCGGCGTGAGTTTTAGCCACCGGGTCCGGGATGCGAACCTCGGTCGACTACATGGGAGTCCAGCGACATGGCCATTACACCAACTGCTGGTCCTGGAAGTAGCTTCTTGTTAGACATTTGTTCCTGAGAGAGAGAGGGGTACTCCTGGTCTCAGCCAGCCAGGATCTCAGGCATGCATGTCCACCCCTGACAGGTTCAGGGAGGTCTCGGGATAAGAACCCATGCCTGTCCTGTATGAGCCAGTCGGGTTATGTGTTTGGGCCACACATGAGCTCTTAACATGTAGGCATTATGGTGGGCTATACTAACGTGATAGGGGAATTGCCATATATTAACTTTATTTATTTATTTATTTTAATTTGACTAGAGAGGGACAGAGAGAGAGAGAAAGTGAAAAAGGAAGCCACCAGGTCCAGGACTCAAACCGTGGTCGGCCATGTGAAGTCTAGTGCCCTTAACTACTGTGCCACCTGCTGGCCCCGCCATATTTTTTTCCTGATGCTCATATGTTAAACTTATTTATGAAATTCTTTTTTTGAGAAATTATTTATTTAATGCCCTTTGTTATTATTTTTTGATTTGACCAGAAAGAGAAAGGGGAAGTGAGAAAGCAAGCTGCCAGGTCTGGGACTCAAACCGTGGTCGGCCATGTGAGAATCCAGCACCTTTAACCACCACACCACCTACTGACCCACTATTTCTGAAATCCTTAAAAATTGTGATACTTAATTCATACAGGTAAACAAAGTTGCCTAATCAGTGTTTCTTTCTCCTTTATTTTCTTCCCCCAGGCTCAAAGATTTGGAAAGAGACAGCTTAACAGAAAAGGTATAGTCTTCACCGGAAAAATAACACTTTCTAAGAATTATTCATTTAATTTGATTTATTGTTAGTATTTTTAGTTTGCTACATAGTAGATGTGTGCATTCACCAGAGAGAGACACAGAGAGAGAGAGAACAAGTGGCCAGGTCAGGGGCTCGATCCACGGTCAGCCACGTGGGAGTCTAGTACCTTAACCACCACACCACTTGCTGGCCTCTAAAAATAATTTTAAGATAATTTAAAAAATGACCAAATGTGGTTAGTTGGATACTTTGTGGCTCTTGAAAGAGAAATATGTTTTCATCAAGTGGAGTTGGCTCGGTTTTCCATGACGTTTTGAAGATAAGTTGGATATTTTTCTTGGTTCCTATTGACATGAATGAACTGCTAATACCAGTTGTTTTGGGCAAGTTGTTGGCAGGTTTACCAATCTGGGTTCCAAATTTGGGATTGGAACTTGTTCCTGGTTATTTTTATTATTATTATTATTTTTTGAGAGGTTTTTGCTACAGGGCACGTGGGCTCACAAAAAAAAAGACACAGAGAGAGAGAAAGCGAGAAATCACCCCCTGGTGGGGGGATGACCATGCCACAATCCATTCTCCTCTCAGGATCTTGGGCACGCATGCACACGCGCCTGGGATGAGTTCAAGCCACCGGGTCCAGGACTTGAACCACGGTCGACTACATGGGAGTCCAGCGACATAGCCATAACGCCAACTGCTGGTCCCCCTGGTTATGTTTTGAGAAGCACAGTTGTGTTCTAATACACGATTATGTGTCTTTTTTATTTTTTAATTTTCTAGAAAGTCATGTATGTGCCAGAGAGAGACAGAACCTCTCATGGAGTATGGCCATGCCATAAACCCCTCTTTGGGGTCCACACGACATGGGCTGGCATTGTTTTTCTGGGACTTGATGTGCATAGTTGGGCATGTGGGATCCGGCTCCCGGAACTACTAGACCACAGGGCCAGCCCATGCGCCATCATCGTCTGTCACTCATCTCAGTTATTCCCTTTTTTCACCACTTGGGAGGTGACAGATGTCTTCTTTTTTTTTTTAATTTTTTTTTATTACCGTTTTTGCCGTAAGGTATGTGATCACCAGCGAGACAGACACAGAGAGTGGAAAAGTGAAACATCACCCCACCACCACGCCACAATCCCTTCTCCATTCTCCTCCTGGGATTTTGGGCATGCACGCACACACACCTGGCGTGAGATGTAAGCCACTGGGTCTGGGACTCGAACTGTGGTCAGCCGTGTGGGAGCCCTGTGCCTTAACCCCACCACGCCACCTGCTGGCCCCAGAGCCACGTGCTCTTCCTGGACCGATAACCAGGTCCCGTGAATGTGTTTTTGGCTGAAAGAGCATTGCTTGCCGTTGAGTCATCGCAACGTGACGAGGCTGCTGGTAGTGAGTAGCCAGTGGCTTGGGGCTGCTCACCCTCTCTCCTTCCCTTAGGAATGCGTGAAGGAGAAGTTGAATCTCTTGCATGAATTTCTGCAAACAGAGATAAAGACTCAGTTATGTGACTTGGAAACCAAATTACATAAAGAAGAATTATCAGAGGTGAGTCGGCGCACCGCATCCCGGCTTCTGGGAAGACAACCCCGTGTCCTCCCCTGTAACTTGGCTGTGACAAGGGAGGCCGGACATCCCCCCCCCGCCCTCCTCGTGCCCCCGTCATTGTAGAGGAAATGCATGCGTCTCCTTGTTCTCTTCTTACCACTTGTTTACATTCACTGCTCCTTAAATTATCCCTTTCCTGCTGTAGGAGGGCTACCTGGCTAAAGTCAAATCCCTTTTAAATAAAGATTTGTCCTTGGAGAACGGAGCTCATGCTTTCGTTCGGGAAAGGAACGGGCATCTAGAAAACGGGAGCCAGACAAGCGCAGACCGCCGGATGGACACGGGAGAGGCAAGCAGCCCCCGCAAGCCCACTCCCAAATCGCGCACGCCCCGAAGGAGCAAGTCCGACGGAGAGACTAAGTGTAAGAACACGGGGCTCTTCCCGCTTCCTTGGGGACTTTGGTGCCACTCTGGGGAGGGCAGGCAGACTTGGCCCCCCAAAGCACGGGTCCTCGATGTGTTTCTGTGTGTACGTACGACTGGCTTAGACCTGTGAGGTTTTTATCTTAGTATTTTAATTTGCTAGAGGTTGTGTACACTCAGAGAGAGAGAGACAGATACAGAGAGAGGGAGAGAGGCGGAGGGGGAGGCAAAAGCACCCCCGTGGGGTACAGTCACACCATCATCCCATCTCGGTTTCTCCCTTTTTTCAGGACTTGGGGCACACACGCACATGTACCCAGAGTGTTTCTCAATCTGACAGGTCCAGGACTCAAACTATGGAGTTAATCATGTGGGATTCAGATGCTTCAGCCACCAGACCATGGAGGTGGCTCTCAAAAGAATTTTTTTTTCTTTTTCTTTTTGTTATAGGGTGCGTGTGCTCGCCAGAAAGACAGAGACAGAAAATGAGAAATCACCCCCCAGGGGGGATGGCCATGCCGCTCCCTTCTCCATTCTCCTCTCGAGATCTTGGGCACGTATGCACATGCACCCAGCATGAGTTTAAGCCACCGGGTCCGGACTCCAACCGCAGTTGACTACATGGGAGTCCAGCAACGTAGCCATTATGCTAACTTCTAACAAGAATTTTTGTTTTAAAGAATTATTTTATTTAACTTTATTTATTTTAAATTTGATGAGAGAGGGACAGAGAGAGAGAGTGAAAGCGAGAAGGCAAGATACCAGGTTTGGGACTTGAACTGTAGTCAGCCATGTGGGAGTCCTAATGCCCTTAACCACTACGCCAACTGCCAGCCCCTCAAAAATATTTTTAAGAGATTGATTTTTTTTTAAAAAAAATTATTTAATTTTATTCATTCATTCATTTATTTTTAATTTGACCAGAGAGAGACAGATAGAGAAAGAGAAAGGGAAAGTGAGAAAGCAAGCTACCAGGTCCGGGGACTTGAACCCTGGTTGGCCATGTGGGAGTGTCCAGCGCCTTAACCACCATGCCACCTGCTGGTCTCCGAGATTGATTTTTTAAAAAAAAATTAGTTATTTAATTTATTATCATTTTTAAAATTTGCTGTAGGGCACATGTGCTCACCAGACAGAGCGTGCAAGCCACCAAGTCTGGGACTCAGACTACAGTTGACCGTGTGGGACTCCACCACGCCAACCACCGCATCGCATGCCCACCCCAAGAGACTGACTTTTAAAGCTTTCTCATTCATTTATTGCTTCAGTGAGAGACAGAGACAGTCCCCCAACAGGGACTTCAGGCCGCAGCCTCCCTCCATCCCCCCCACATCATGGGCATGCACATTTTAATGGCTGTTGGGGGTTCCTGGGATACAAACCCAGGGCCTTCTCTTGGGGTTCCAGCTGTGTGACTACGGTGCCATTGCCTGGCCCTGCTCTATCTTTTGGTACCAAAATAAACTTGTACATGAATTCCGTTTTTCTATAGACATTTTTTTAAAAGAGTTATTTTTGTTTAACTTTATTTATTCATTTACTTATTTTTATTTGAACAGAGAGGGATAGAGCGAGAGAGAGAAAGAGAGAGAGAAAGTGAGAAAGCAAGCTGCCAGATCCAGGACTTGAACCATGGTCGGCCATGTGGGAGTCCAGCACCCTTGACCACCACACCACCTGCTGGCCCCTCCACAGACTTTCTGAAGTCCCTTTTTATTAATTATCAGGGGTTACTAATATTTATTACTTTTTTTTTTTTAACTGCTTTTTTTTTTTGGGGGGGGCGAGGTTTTTTGCTATAGGGCACATGCACTCTCTGGAAAGACAGAGAGACAGAGAGTGAGAAATCACCCCCTGGGGGGATGGCCATGCTGCAATCCCTTCTCCTCCATTCTCCTCTTGGGATTTTGGGCACACGTGCACACGCACCTGGCGTGAGCTTAAGTCACCGGGTTTGGGACTTGAACTGCGATCGACTATATGGGAGTTCAGTGACAGCCATTATGCTAACTGCTGGTCCCAATATTTATCACTTCTAAGATGTTCCGTGCCTCAGGCCAGCCAGGTGGTATGGTGATTGAGGAGGCTGAATCACATAGGACCAGCTGTGGTTCCAGTCCTGGACCCAGGCTCGGGGCCAGCAGGTGGCGCAGTGATTGAGGGCACTGGACTCCCACATGGCCAGCTGCAGTTCGAGTCCCAGACCCGGTGGCTTGCTCTCTCAGCTCTCTCTGTATGTGTCCCTTTCTGAGCAAATTAAAATAAATGAGTTTAAAAAAAAAAAAGCTTAAACAACACCACCAGTCTCGTGCGTGTGCTGAAAATTCCGGGAGAAGAATGGAGGAGAGGGGACTGTGTGCAGAGTGGCTATCCCCCCACCCCCCAGGGGTGATTTGTCTCCCTCCCTCTCGCTCTCTCGGTGTCTCTGTCTGTCTCTAGCGAGTACACCTGCCCTATAGCAAATTTAAAAAAAAGAGTTATATTTAAGCTAAGCACTTATTCTTAGACCACTTTCTAGCTCGTCGGCAAAATCAACACTGCTTGAATGCAGCTCTGATTTTTGGCCACTTCATCTTTTTTTCTTTCCTTTCCTCTCCCTCTTTTAAATTTTTTTTTAAATTGCCAGTGGGTGCATGTGCTTGCCAGGGAGCGAATGGGGAGAAGGCGCCCTCCAGTGGAGCCTGGTGACACCACGAGCCTTTTCCTCTGTTTCTCCATTCCGCCAGGATCCTTGGCACGCACGCACTCGTGCCCGACGTGTTTCTCAAGCTGCGGGGCCTGAGGTGCGAAATGCAGTTGTCCGTGTGGGGTCTGGCTCCCCACACGCTGTGCTGTGTGCTAAACCCCAACCCCAATCTTGGTGTTTTTTTGTTTGTTTGTTTGTTTTTTTTTACATTTTTGCTATAGGGTGCATGTGCTTGCCAGAGAGACAGAGAGAGAGAGAGAGAGAGAAAGAGAGAGAAATCACTTCCCAGGGAGACTACCATGTCATAGTCCCTTCTCCATTTTCCTCTGAGGATTTTGGACCCACAGGCGTGTGTACCTGGTGTGGTTTTTAAGCTGCTGCGTTCGGAACTTGAACTGTAGACTTGGCCACGTATGACCCAGCGCCTTGACCTGCTGGCCCTCCCACTTCACCTGTTGACAATATGAGAGCCACTGTTTTCTTGTTTGGTTTAGGAGTAGGTCCCTCAGGTAGGAGCTCACGTGACAGCCTCTGCACGGACAGGGGCCTGTTTCTGTTTTTTTTTTTTTGTTTTTTTTTTTGAGAGGTTTTTGCTATAGGGCACGTGCACTCACCAGACAGGCAGAGAGAGACAGAAAGTGAGAAATCACCCCCCGGGGGGGATGGCCACGCCGCAATCCCTTCTCTTCTATTCTCCTCTCGGGATCTTGGGCACTCACGTACACGCACCCAGCGTGAGTTTAAGCCACTGGGTCCAGGACTCGAACCATGGTCGACTACATAGGAGTCCAGTGACACAGGCATTACGCCAACTGCTGGTCCCAGGTGCCCATTTCTGGCTAGCACACTGGTGATTGGCTAGAATGCGGAAAATCTAAGGCTGTGTGACCCTGTGCAGAGAGCCTGGCCCTCTGCGCTAGGTGCCCGTCGAAGGCCTCGGTGCGCCGTCCCTGTGGGCTTCTGTTCACGGTGCCTTTCTTTCTCCTCTCCCTCTGAACAGCCGAAGCTTCGCCCAGCCCCAGGGTGACGAGGAACACGGCCAAGCAGACCACCATCACGTCTCATTTTGCGAAGGGGTCAGTATGGGACGGGTTACAGCTGTCCGCGTTTCACTGTGGTCGTTAACTTTGTTATTTTCATGAGCGAGGGAGACCGTGAAGGGCAGGGGGAGGGTGAAGACCCCAGCACAGCCTTCGCACTGTGGCCCCCCCAGCCCCAGCTGCCAGGATCCCGGCCACACGTATGTGCCCTGCGTGCACGGGGAGAGCGCGGGACCTAACCACGCAGGCCCAGCATTGCGGAGGGTCGCGTCCCTGCCAGGCTGCACCCCTGCAGCCGGCTGACAGCCGCCTTTACTCGGGGCCGGCTGTTCTTGTAGAGCATGAGCAGGATTGCTAGCAACGGACAGTTCCGCCTTCCATACTGCAGAGGTTTCCCTCCTGGCGTTCGCTCACGAGCCAGAAAAGTGTTAGCTTTTATGGTTTTGTTTTTTCTTCTTTTTTTCCCCCTAAATAATGATTTAACTTTGTTTATTTATTTTAATTTGACCAGAGAGGGACAGAGGGAGAGGGGAGGGGAGGGTCATCAGGTCCAGGACTCAAACCATAGTCGGCCCTGTGGGCGTCCAGCATCCTTAACCACCATGCCACCTGCCAGCCCCTTGTTTGTTAGTTTGTTTGTTTCGAGAGGTTTTTGCTATAGGGCACGTGCGCTCGCCAGACAACGAGACATAAAG